TTATTTGTTGAACTTCTTGTCTCAGTTGTTTCATAGTTAATTGTCGCTCAACAAGATCTTTTGATAATAAAGACCAGGATTTCGAGTACGCAAAGAGTCGTTGTCCATTTGTTTTTGCAGTATCAATGGCAACACTTACAAGAGATAGAATATCTCCTTTATCATATAGTTCAAGGTCAAGGTCAACTTCAGCATTGCATGCATCTTCAATATATCTGTTAAAGTTTTGAGGTCGTGTTCGTCGGTAGTGAGTAGGAATTGTTAAAGAAGTTTGTTGAGAACTACTTTGTACAATAATTCATGTAGAGGTCATTTGTATATTGACAGAAGTGTAATCTAATTGTAAACTTTGGTAAAGTTCTAATAATCTAGTACGTTGAATTTCTGAAAGTTGAAGTTCCATGATTTGTAAAAATTTTAGAACTTGAGAAAAATAAGGTCCTTTATATAATAAAATTTGTGTTCAGGTGTTTAATTAAACTTTGACTAATTTGGGGTGATTATCACACAAGGTTCTACAAAATGCTTTTGTTTATAATGTTTTAATCTCTCTGCATGAACAGGATTAGGTAATATATTACCAATTTTATCACTTATCAAGTAAACCTTATTACCTAACTTCTTTTTTATCCAAAACGGTTCTGTTCATTTAGGATTAAACTTTTGTCCATACACTTGTCTTTTAGCAGAATCATATAATAATATGATATCATTTTCGTGATACTCGTAAGCTTTAGCCAAATGTTTTTGCCTTTCCTTTTGTAACTTTTGTGTACTTGTTACATTTCTTGAGGAGATTATGAGTGCGTCAGTGAAGGTTCCTATTAAAGAACTGATCCTTCGTTCTAAAGCCTCTTCATAAGTTAAAACAGAATGATTTTCCTTATCATTAAACTCGACATCAATAGGAAGTTGTTCTTCTTTTCCATGTACCAAATAGAAGGGAGTATACTTTGTAGATTCATGCTTTAAGGTATGATAAGCAAAAAGTACTGAAGGTATCAATTGATCCCAATTAGATTGACTAGTTCGTAAACATTTTGTAATAGATCTATACAAGGTTCCATTGAATCTTTCTGTTAATCCATTCGTTTGAGGATGGTAAAATGATGCCAACTTGTGTTGAAATCCTATTTCCTCCTTTAAAAGTTTAATTGTATCATTTACAAAATGAGCACCTCTATCAGATAAGATTATAGATGGGGTTCCATGTCAACAAATGATTTCCTCATAAAGAAATTGAGCAGCTTCTTTAGCTGTTGCTGTTTTTACGGCACGTGCTTCAGGTCATTTGGTGAAGTAATCTGTTGCCACTATGATATATCTGTTTCCATTTTCAGTTGTTTCCAAAGGTCCAACATAGTTAATTCCTATTTGAAAGAAGGGTCGAATAACTGGTATAGATTCAGTTAATTGTATCTTTCGTGGATTACCAAATCTCTGACAACTATCACAAGATTCGATATATGCTTTAATGTCCTTTCCCATTGTAGGCCAGTAATATCTTTCCAGAGCTTTCTCAATTGTTTTCTTGAATCCAAAATGTCCTCCTAAGGGGGATGAATGTAGATCATATAAAATTCGTTCTCTGTCCTGCAGAGTTATTACTCGTAACGGTTTATCAAAATTGTTTTTGTTTTTCTTTAATAATTGCCCTTGTTCTACCAAATATTGTGTCGCTTGCCTTGCTAATCTTTGTTTGTCACTTGTTATAAAATTTTCTGGATATTTATGAAATAATAAATAATTAATGAGGTTATTATACACTTCCAAGTTCATTTTGTGTGAATTATTTTGTGTTTATTTATAAGGTTAAATTAATATAAAAAATTCAAGAGGCTATGCACTGGAGTGGTTTCTAGTCTTGAAAGTACGTCGGCATTGGTATGGTCACTGCCTTTCCTCTTTAAAATAGTATATGGTTCGTATTCTGATAAATGAATTATCCAGCGGACTAACCTTCCTTTGGGTTGTTTATGTTTTTTGAGCCAGGGTATTGCTTCGTGATCAGTGACAATACAAAATTGAGATCCTTGTAAAAAGTGATGAAAATATTTGGTTGCCCAAATTACAGCAAGACATTCCTTTTCGGTCACGGTATAATTTAGTTCGGCATTGTTTAAGATTCGGCTAGCATAGGCGATCACATGTTCCTTTCCTTGGTCATCGTTCTGGGCGAGTACTGCTCCTACAGCATAATCAGAAGCATCGGTGTGAAGAATAAAAGGATCAGTAAAACTAGGGTGTTTAATAATTGGCGGGCTTATAAGACATTCTTTTAACGTTTCAAAGGATCATTGAGTTTCCTCTGTCCAGCAGAAGTCTCTATCTAACTTGATCAAGTCATACAGTGATTTTGCAATTTTTGAAAAATTGCGGATAAAGCGTCGATAATAAGATGCGAGACCTAAAAATGACCTAACTTGTCATCTCGTTTTTGGCACTAAGCAATTTTTAATTTTATCAACAAGAGTGGGATTGGGTTTAATGCCATTTCCAGAGACCAAATGTCCTAGAAATAATATCTGTTTCTTGAAAAAGTCACACTTATCAG